AGATGTGATATGAGCGCTAAGACATGAACTTTAAGTGATAAATAATCTTGGAAGGACTGGATCTATGAGTTATTGGAACAGATCTGACCTCAGAAGGTCGTTTGGGGTTGTGCATGGAATGCACTCGCCAAGTCCATTGGCAGACTCGACGAGTTGGTGCGGGCTGTTCATAGATTTCGAACCAGGGGTTAAGTAACCGAGTTGGGTGAGTGACTCGGTGAGTCGGAAGGGACTCAGAGGAATTGGGTCCTCGTAGGGACTCGGCGAGTCCACGCTAGACTAGACGAGTTGGGTTGACTGTTGACCATTGACCAGAGTTGACCGGTGCTGACTTGATAAAGTTAGTCAACCTTAATTAGGAAAGTGTTAATTAGAGATGTATTGTGTTATAGGAGGACTATAGCTCGGGAGATCGAGCACTAGTGATTTCAGGGATTTACGAGTTACCGAGATACACGAGGTGAGTCTTCTCACTATACTTTACCTTGAGTAGGTATATAGAGTTATGTGATATGCTGCTACCGCGCCGACTCCTTTCCCTTAGCTGAAGAGGTACCTGAAACCAAAACTGAAACTGTAAGCACGAAGCTTAGTGAGTTCCCCCACTGTACCACATACCATATAATCACATAACATACATAAATTGTCAGGCATATCTGGTTGCCCGACCTACCCCTTCGGTCCTCTCGACCGGATGCTTCCTAGCATATCTGGGTGTTGGCCTCCCCTTCGGTCCTCTCGACCGGATACTGCCTAGCATATCTGGGTGTTGGCTTCCCCTTCGGTCCTCTCGACCGGATACTGGGGACTATTTCACCCCTACTACTACCACATAACACATATATCACATAGTCTATCTAGCATGGCTGGGCATGACCGCCCCTTCGGCCCTATCGACCGGTATTCTGGGGGACTATCTCCCCCTACTGTCACTAACACATAAACATAACACAGGTAGTAGCATCCCTAGATGAATATCACAAAGACAATCATCTAATCATGCATCTCATACTGGTGGTCCGGCATTGTGGCCTTAGACCCACCGCTACTGGAAGGTAACTCACCTCAAAGTAGCTGCTGAACTGATCGGAAACTGACTGTCTACTGCTGCTCCGGACGTCCTCCGGCTATAAATCCCACAAAACGATCAGTCAGACACTACTAGATGTTCTTAGGGTAAAATGACCCTTTTACCCTTGACCAGGTCGAAATCCAAGTCAAAGTCAACTTCCAGTTAACTGGACTCGCCGAGTCCACGAGCAACTCACCGAGTCCTTCCCTTACTAATCCGGTCCCACTCGCCAAGTCCCTCTCCCCACTCACTGAGTCACCCTTGACTCACCACTCGGGACTATGGGGCCGACTTGAGTACCGACTCGCCGAGTTTGAAGAACAACTCGGCGAGCTCCAAGCAAGCTTCATAGGACTCGTCGAGTTGTTCATCCAACTCGGCGAGTCTAAGACCATCTTCATAGAACTCGCCGAGTACCACTTTGGGACTCGCCGAGTTCCTCGACCCATTTCCCAAATAGGCCATATCTGAGACATGCAATGCTTCAAAACCACAGATCTATGGTCCTAGGGCATGTTTACCACGTAAAGTTGCAAACTTTACGTGCATGCATGGCCCAATGAGCTCAAACATGCAATTCCAAGCTCTTTAAGAGGTCCTACACTCAATAGGGACCTCAATCACCTCAACCACAGAGACTTTATGCTACTAGGATGTCCTAAAGGTCCAAATCCGAAGTCCTTGCAGAACATTAACCATAAACACATAGAGATTTAGGTTCTTAGGGCTTAAAACCTCTTTTTAGGGACAAGAAAGGGGGTTCAATGAACTAAAGATCAAGGTAGGAACTTTTCTACCTGAATAGAAGCCCTTCACAGAGTATATTCCGAATCTTCTTCCCTTTTTGCACTCTTCACCCTTCTCCTTCTTCTCCCAAGCTCCAAACCACCTTCAAAATGCTAAAAATCACCCACATGGACACAAAGGGGGCTAGGGTTTCGTTCTACAGATCTCTGGGAGTGCTAGGGGTAGTGGAGGTTGGGTTAGATCGTTTAAATAGGGTGCAAACACCCGGGTTAGGGTTTTAATCCATACATGGTCTACTCGCCGAGTCCCACGACCCTACTCGCCGAGTAGCCAGAGTTAAACCCGAGTCTAGACCTGCTTCTACTCGGCAAGTTAGTCCTTCAACTCGCCGAGTCCAAGGTTAAAATGCAATACATAAGGAGAGTTAATAATCAAAAATACATACCAGGAACCAGGTGCTACAGAATCGTTTCCGGATTTTGTATCGGAAGGTACGCAAAGAGTGAAGAAATAGTGTGATCCGTCTGATTTCGTGTTCTGTGGTTGTTGAGGGCTCGATTTGAGGTCAGATTGCGGGAAGCAGGCTTAAGAGCGGTGGTTTTGGTGTTCTTGCTGAAACAAGCACCCAGAGAGAGAGAGAGAGGGACGAAAAGGACAGAGATACCCTTTAATATTAAATAATTAAATAATTAGTTTTTTTTTAAATAAGACAAATATTCATAAATGGTCCATGTGGCAGTGAAATGACAGAAATACCCTTCACTTCATGGCCAAAAGCTAACGGAGTTAACGAAAATGACTATTTGTTAAAAGTTTTGAAACCACAGGGACCATCTGTGAGCTTTTTTTGAACTTAGAGACTAAACTTGATATTTTTTAGAATCACAAGGACCATTTTTGAAGTTTTGTCTAGATAGTATCAAAATATAAGTTGATGAGTTTTTATGTTATTTGATAATTCAGTTAATACCAAAAACATGACTAAAAACGTAAATTTCAACGTATTTCTATTTTTTCCAATAATTATTTTAACCATTAAAAATGTATTTTTGCACGACTTGCAAGGTTTCATGTCATACCCGACCCATTGGCATGACCCTCAATCACAAAGATCAAGATATCATTATCAAATAAGAAAAGGTTATACGCCATCATCCGAATGAAATTACTACATAAAAAGAGTAGATGATACAATATGACCTAATTAATAAACCATTTCCAAAAGATAAAAGAATCCAAATACCATCTTCAATAAATAATAAATAATAAAAAATTCAAAACAAAGAAGGATTGGGTTGTGTACATGGCATCAGCATAGACTTTCATTTTTTTTTTTTTAAAAAAAACATGTTACATCATAAATAAATATGAAAAACTAAATACTTTCATTCAAGGTTCTAAAAAGCTTGTTATGGTTCCGCCATAGCGCGTCACGACACCAAGGCTTGCACCTGCCGCCAAGCTTTGCCAAATCGCCGTCTTAACTTATATATGTGTATAAAAATGAATAATAGTTGAAAATACATATAAAAATATTAATTATATAGAAATTTGTCGTCTTAAGTCACGCCTTACAAATGTCATGACTCGCCAAAGCTCGGAAAAGCTTGAGGCTTGATATTATCGCCAAGTCACGTTTACGTTATTTAGAACCTTACTTTCATTTATATAAAATGATGTATAATAAAATGGCTCCCATAGGTTTTCTACTTGTTAGGCGAACTAGGTCTAGGATTTGAGGAACTAAAAAAATCATAATTTGATTCGCAACTCTTTTAGATTATCTAATGGTAAACCACAATTTTTTTTAGATTTCTCATAGATTATTGGCACGTATCAAGAAAATGAAAGAAAATCCAAGTTCCATAATAATATAAAGAACATTTCCAAGATACAAATAACATCCATAGAGTCCAAACGCCACATTTTCGAGGTACATCGGACTAAAAAAGTGACTTTTGCGTTACGCCCATGAATACATGATGTTATTTTTATTAGAAATATTCAAAAGTAGCATTTCGAATTCCAAAACCCGAATAACATTTACCAACATTATGAACCTTACGAAAAATATGATGACATGAAAAAGTATATGATTTAGTTGAAAACCGATGATACGAGACATATTGTGGGTCGTCTCCAAAAGACAAAATAATCTAAATACCATCAATGTGAATATAAATAAGACAAAATTGCAAAAATGGTCCCTGTGGTTTGCATTTTTTCAGGAAAAAAGTCCAAACCACGAGTTTTTTGGTTTTGTGGTCCTTTTGGACTGGTTTGTTTGTGAGAATGGTCCCTATACTTAACACCCGTTAAATTCCATCCGTTAACCCCCTCATGTGCCTTGCACGTGAGGGTATTTCTGTCCTTTTACTTATAGGGACCATTTTTGCATATGGAAAAATAAAACATCCTTTATATATCGTTTTCTTTTCCCAGCTTCTTCCCCAACAAATCTTCTTCCCCAACGTTCTTAATTGTTCTTCCCCAACGACTATTATCTTCCATTTCTCCTTTCCTGACTTGCAATCGAACAATGGTGGTTTGTTTTTGTGGAAAGCTTGCTTTGGTGAAAACGTCTTGGACACCACTGAATCCCGGCAGGAGGTTTTATGCTTGCCCTACTAAGGATTCTGTTTGTGGGTTTATCGGGTGGGTTGACCCACCTATTTGTGCTAGGAGTAAAACCATCATACCTGGTCTTCTAAGAAACATAAATACATTGGAGGAAAGATGTAATGGGCTGGTAAGAAGTATCAACATGTTACAGGAACAGTGCAATGGACTTTTGAGCAGGAACAACATGTTGGAGGCAAGGTGTGATGCATTGAAGGATGAAGGTTTCAAGCTGAAGATGTATTTATGTGCAAGTTGGTTTATGTTTGTGATTGTTATCTTTAGTACTTGGTCTATGTAAGGGATAGGGTTAGGCAAATGTGGGGATTTTTGTTGATCAAGTGATGCAGGGTAAAAATGGTATAATTTTGTTGTAATTTGACTTCATCATGTTTGTAATGAATTCCAAAATGTGTATCAGTTGTGTTCAAAATGTGTATCAGTTGTCAGATATAAGCACATAAATAGAACCAAAATGTAACAAAAGTACATTACCAAAATACATGTCATAAATTTACCAAAATGAACATTCCATTAACCACATGAGTGGAACCAAAAACCATTACCAAGTTAAGCATACAAGTGTCTGTGCACCATACATAACCACATCATCAAACCATAACTAAAGTTTTCAAAAACAAACAGTTTTTAACAACAAGAAACTAAATAGTCATTGCACCACAACAAATAACCACAATCACTTCTTAGATTGATTCCCTCCTTGCCCTTTACAGGTCCTAGAGTTGTGTCCTTTATTCTTGCATTTGCTACAAGTAACACTAACATGTTTCCTTGATAGCTTCTGCACTCCATCATTTCTTGGCCCTTGGGAATTTTCTCCTTGCATCTCATTGACTCCATCACCTTCACTTGCCTTCTGCCTTTTGCTTAACCTTTCACCCTCACTTTGTCTTCTTTTTTTCTTAGGCCTTCCCACCTGAGTGTGATGTGGAGGAGGGATTAGCTTTGTTGGACAATTACTTTTAGGCCACATGGGTCTCCCTTTAATTGGTTCCACCTTAAATGAATAAGCTTTTTGCCATGTCTCTAGCCAATACACCTTGTGTACCCACTTGTAAATGTCAAGCTCAGCCTCAGGGTCTTTGCTCATTTCATTCAGAGTTGCAATTGCATGCCTGCAAGGTATTCCCATTAATTCCCACTTTCTGCAAGTACAGGTTTGGTTCCTAACATCCACCACATGTTGATCTTGCAATGCTGCAGTGACTTGATACTTGTTTGCCCCATTCCACCTAGCAATATATTGTGAAGCACCTTTTTTCCTTGCATCTAGGATGTCTGTTGCTGTAGGTGTTAGTGGACCTTTAGCCTTCTTCATTGCCTTCATGACATTGCATATCCTCTTCATTAGATACTCCCTAATGAACTCTAAACATGAAATTACAGGTTTGTCCCTGCCTTTCTCTATCTTCCCATTAAACACTTCACACATGTTTGAAATCAACACATCAGAAACAGCTCTTCCTGCACATTACAATAACATACAATTAATGCTGATAAATAACTGAAACACATAATCTTTACCATATGCAAACATATACAATTACCTGAGAAATGACTCCTTGCCCAATGTACAGGAGGAATTTGCTTCAACCATTGACATGCCTCCTTATCATACTCACTAAACTCTTTCATCAAATGTTCAAACTCAGGAATGGTGGTTGCTGATGCACACCTCCATAAATGGTCCCTGTACTCAGTTTGCCCCCACTTCTTTCTCATATTGTCATGAATATGTCTAATACAATACCTATGCTCAGCATTGGGAAACAATTGATCAACTGCAATTTGTAATCCCTACATGACTCAACATACAATAATTAGAATTAATTTCTTGGTAAAAAAACACAATCTAAATGATCAATTGATGAGTTTTAATTTACCTTTTGCCTGTCACTTATGAAAGTATAGTTTGAGTTGCTCCCAAGCTCCAAGTCATCCCCAAGGTTTTCTAAAAACCACTTCCAGCTAGCTGTGTTTTCAGACTCAACAATTGCATAGGCTAAGGGATAAATTCCATTGTTGGAATCTAGACCAACTGCTGTAAGAACCTGACCAGGGAATGGGCCTTTCATGAAGGCACCATCCAAACCTACTAAGTCTCTAAGACATGCTTTGAAACCTTTTTTCAGTGGACCCAAGCATACATAAATCCTTCTAAACTGCCTTGTTGGGGATGCAGGGTTGCCATTAGGACACACATCTATTTTGACTGTTGTGTCTGGGTTTGTAGCTTGAAGTTCAAGAGCATAGTCCCTCAACAACTCAAACTGTTTTGTGTAGTCCCCAGTTACATGCTTTCTTGCCATATCTTTTGCCCTAAACACCTTATCCATTGAAATACCCACCTGGTAGGTCTTTTGAAAGTGATCTTGTATGGCTCTCAAAGGAATCTTCGGATCTGCCTCAACTTGATCTATGATTTTCTTGCAGATTAAAGAAGCAGTACAAGCTCTGAGTTTTCTTGTTTGTAAGCATGTATGAGTTTGGTTTAAGGTCCTTATAAACCAATCAGATTCGGGGTTTGACCTAGATGCATGTATATACCAACCACATGTTTCTTTTTGTGTCTTTACTTCTTTGCCCTTGCTTTTTGAAGTGGTAGGTTTAGTCCCCACTTGACCTTTATTGATGACAGGTACAACTCCTCTGCACTGTGCCCTAAGCCTTTGACTGTCATTTTTTTTAAAGAATAGATTCCTTCTTGTTTCTAGTGCGTGCACATCAATTAACTCCTTTAATTCTTTTTTACTTTTAAACTTTTGCCCCACTGAGAATGACTGTATATGTACTGACCCAAGGTTGCACCTTTTTTCTTTTCCCAAATTTCTTATGAGAGCTCTTCTTTCTCTGTCTTGGTCTGATCCTTCATCCAATGATTCGAACTCCTCATTGTTGATCACTTCCATATCTTCAGGTTCATGACCATCATTAATACATGCTCCTTCAACATCACTTTCAACATTTAAAAGAAGTCTGCCATGTCCACATCAACATCTTCTATATTGTTCTCCTCATCCATTATGTCATCCACTTTATCTTCATTTTCTGATTGTTTCCCATCATGATCATCACCTTCATCCTTTTCATACTCTTCATCACTCTCTTCAGATTCAACATCCCCTTCATACTCTTCAACATACTCATCACTTCCATTTAAATTTTCCATAAGGTTGTCAAAAAGTTCATTATATTGTTCATCATCATTAATGGGTGGGGTGTTGTAGCATCCATCAATATGGTCATTATCATGAACCCCAATCATCTCATCCCCTACATTAGCAATATTTGAAGTAAATGGATTGTAGCATCCTTCAACAACAGTTGCAGCCTCATGAACCTCCTTAACACCCTCATTAGTGTTTTCCTTCTCTTTTAAATCATCAATATCCTCTAAATTAAGCCTCTTGCTACAAGAACCTTCCTCTCTTTTTGAATTCCCAACTCTACCCCTTCTATACTCTGGAGAGAATGCATCAGTTTTACTCCCAAAAAGAATCAAAGACATGTACTCACCAATTGGTTCATCATTGACATGGTTCATATTTCTCAATGGAGATTCTACATGAACTTCAGCCTCATATTTAGCCCCTTGATCATCATTTTCTGGTAATTCCTCAATGACAACTTTACCCTTTGCATTTGGAGACATGAAGTATGTGAGTAGATTTGTCTTCCCATGTTCTGTGTACACTTCAATCAACTTGTTATTTTGAATAAATTTAGAAAGATTGATAACATCCTGATCATTCCCTAAAGCTCTAAGACCAAATTGAAAGTCACCATTGGGTATCCTGAAATGGTAGTATATCACTGGGGATTCAACACTCAATTCAATCATCCGTGGGTCTGGGTAACCTAGGTCAAGCATTATGGCATCAAGTTCATGTACAGAAAACTCATCTATGTCCACATAATCAACATAACGCACTTCACCTCCAGTATACTTTATGTCAGGTAACTTAGTAAACTTCCCACCATGATGAAGCTTAATACTAAACCATGTGGGTGCACCCGCTACAAGTCAAAATTGTACATGATAACAAAGTCAAAATTTGGCGGATTTTAGTATAAATCAAGGGTAAAATGAAAAATAGGAATGTTTAAGAAAACAGAGCAACTTACCATATAAGGATGATACGTCGACAACTTCATTTTTTGGTCTGATCTGCCACATTACGTACACCATTTCGACTTTAAAGTATGACCTTGTCTCCTTTTGCTTCGATTAGGTTCTTTCGATAACGACTTTTTTTTTTTTGCAGGTTTAATGGAGCAGAAGGAAGAAGGAGGGAGGTGGGGAGTTGACGGGTGTTTGGGATTGTAAATGAGGGATAAAAGGTAGAAGGAAGTGTTGACACTGTAAGTAAAAGGACAGAAATACCCTCACGTGCAAGGCACATGAGGGGGTTAACGGATGGAATTTAACGGGTGTTAAGTATAGGGACCATTCTCACAAACAAACCAGTCCAAAAGGACCACAAAACCAAAAAACTCGTGGTTTGGACTTTTTTCCTGAAAAAATGCAAACCACAGGGACCATTTTTGCAATTTTGTCAATAAATAATAATAATAATAATAAAAGTTTCCAAACAAAGAAAAGCTGTACATGATATGACATGAGTATCCACTTTGATTTACAAATCCACAAACGCAACTCGCCAACATAATATAAGTTAATTAAAAAAATCACCAAACAGAATTTGCAAAACATATCCGGCCACCAAAAGAATATATGGCTCTAAGACTAATAAGCAATAACCATACCATCAACACATTACACATTACACAAACCAACCCCAATTACTTAATACTTATTAGTATAATTTTATCCTTGTTTCAATTGAGCTTCGGCAAATTGGGCACTGCTGTAGAGTTTCTCCACACTCACAACATGTCTGCACAAATATATATATAGACATCTCCATAATACATAATATATAGTATATTTGCATTTTTGGTCCCTGATTATAGCTGATTTTTGCAATTTTGGTCCCAAAAAGTTCTCTTGCAATTGTTTGAGGTTTCCGTAACATTTTTATAAGTGAAATGTCAATTATTGGTTTTGCAAATTTGGTCCCAGAAATATTACTTGGAAAAAATAAGGACCAAAATTGCAAGAGAAAAGTTTTTGGAATCAAAATTGAAATAATTAGTTACACTCAGGGACGAAAAATGTAAATTACTTTACAAAAAAATTAATAATAATAATATGTGAATAGTATTACCTGATGACCACAGCCAAATGCCATATCCTTGGGGTTAGTAAGGCAAATGGGGCATACCTACATAAAATATAGATATAATTAATTGCAATTAACCTTTTTCTTAAAAGTCAAAACTCCAAAAGACTAAAATGCACCTGATTGTCATAAGTAGAACTAGGAGTAGGAGCAGGAGCAGGAGCAGGTGGAGCCCTGTTTGGAAGACTAGTTTGATGATAATAAGGGGAAGGGGAAGGGGAAGGGGAAGGGGCAGGGGTAGTTTGGTCATAATAAGATTGTGACCCCTTTTGAAAGCTACTTGAGTGTGATGGTTTTGAGTGGCGGCTAAAAGATGATGGAGGAGGAAGGGCAATCCTATGTGGCGAAACTCCTTTGCGGCTCCTGTACAATACATCCAATCCAAGTCCAACAAAATAAATAAATATTTGACCAAGAGGGTAAAAAGGTAAATTAAATTTTACCCTAATATATTCAGTTCGAGTGTTGCTTTATATTGAGCAGGAATTTCCATCAAAGCTGCAAGAGCAAATTCTGTCTCTTTACGGATTGGAGCCACATTCTTGGACATGATTTCTGTGAAATTCACAAACTAACATCCAAAAACAAACAAGATTTATTAACATTATTGGATGACACTCAAGGGCATTCATGTCTTTTTACACAAATGCTGACCTGGAAATTATCAAATTCGCGTGAGGGGATATTGTCGTCAAATTCTTTCATCATATCCCACGGCCCATCTCCAACTCCAACCAATACGATAGATAGTGGAACCTTACTGTATAAATTATAAAATATAAATTATAGTAATACTTTAGTTTTATTATATAAATTATAAATTATAAGCACCTTGCTTCAACTATGGCGTCCACAGTTCTCTGTTCTTGTGGACTCAAATTACCAGGCTCAGTATCAACACTTCTTGTCACCTTAAATTTAATTAAAGGTTAATTGTGGAAATTTTGTAAAACTGTAAAAAGATTAAATTTATTAAAAAAAAAAAATCACCTGCCCATCTGCAATAATTAACAGCACGTGATACTGGCCCCCGGTATGTTCAACAATAGTCATAGCCTGTTCAATGACAGGGGCAAATGATGTTGGTCCTGTAACAAAAAAACATAAGAGGTTAAAAGGGCAAAATGGTAAATTTTACATAAGGAAACAAATTATAGAGTTTAAGATCTCAAACCTGCAAGCTTTAAATGAGGGACAATTTCCCTGTATCTACTCAACACTTCCTCAAATCCATTACAAAACCTTTCTTCCGGATAAAAACTGAAAACATCTTGATCGTGTGTTGATGCTGCCATTTTGTAATAAAAAACAAAACTGTAAGATACTATATATTTTTATTGGATTATGAATTGTAAATAGTTATGATTAAATTACTATTATACCATCTCCAAAACCATAACAGGGAATCAAGTTGTCTTCATCAAAGGCAGCTAATGTTTTCCCGATAATGGTTATTGCTTGTTCATACGGATTTAAACCATCTCCAATATGATGTAGACTTTTTCTATTGAAAGACCTTGAACCTATTTGTAAGTAAATGGTTAGTTAGACTTAGCGTATTTCACATCACAATGAAAGAAAAAGAATAAAAAGGGTAATAACGTAAATTTACCTGTCCATTCATTGCTCTTAGTGAAGTCAATACCAACAATTAGGTTAGAAGATTCGAGCCCTGCACGAGCAAGAGCTTCGGTAACCTGTGAAAAAATATAGTGGAAGTGTCATTCTATTAATAATGGAAGCTTTCAACTAAAGCTACAAGATAATAGTCCAAATGAATGTGCTAATTTCCACTATCATAAAAGTTCCACCAAAAAAAAACAAGTTTTTTAGCAACAACTTGCACAGACTACAATACAATGCACAATATTACAAAAGTATGACATATTTTCGAAAACAAGATCTCTCCAAGAAACATCAGCATACCAGAATTCATCCAAACACAAAAGACAAAATCCATTATCCAAATTCTATATAAGATTGACATATCCAGTGACCATTGGATAGGAATAGGATACATCACATCTTGCAAAATGTGTAAGAAAAAGAGATTCATGAAATTCTACCTGTTCCAATGAAGTGTAATTATCTGCAATCCTTGAATACCTCCGGTCAAGCCTCCTCTGTGGTCTATGGGGTTGACCAGATGGTGATGGTGATGGTGCAGGTGCGGGTGCATGATAAGGTTGTGAATAAGCAGGATAAGCCTCATGAACAGGATAATTATGAACGTCTTGTGGCGGATTTGAATAAGATTGTTGAGGATAGTTTCCGTATTGACTTCCAGTAAAAGATGATGTTGACTGGAACGATGGTGACTGTCTGTCAGTCGGACGCTCCTCTCTTGAACTTCTGCCCCCCATCCAATACGAACGGAATCAAATCAAGTTATCTGCAAGATTCCGATTGATAATCTTTCTTGAAACAACCTTCTCGAATGTAAACTGTAACGATTTGAATGTAAAACCCCAAAGATGGAATGAAACGCCTTATTTATGGTATGTTTTGAATCGCTAACAGAAGAAGATAGACTGGAAATTACACGAAGACGATACTTATAAACCTAGGAGTTCACGAGATTAGAACAATGGGGTCTTCCACGAACCCTAGCAAGCGGTTACGAAGAAGCTTCGCCGACATAACACTTGTAGAGTAACTTTATCTGCATTTATTTCGTGTACGACTACAAATTTGCCTATTTCATTTTTTAAAAAAAAAAAGAAGAAAAAAGAAGAAGACAACAACCTTTCTATGGCAAAATTTGTTTTCGACAGATGTACGTCAACCCACGGCTTACGACACCGGAATATCTAACGATTTATCTCTAACAACTAAGTTGTTAAGCAAAGCAAGTTTGGGTTTACGAACAGTGATCAACCTAGATCTGCGAAAGTCAATCGAACGACAACCACCGATGAAGATTGAATTAAGCGTCAGGCACTGATACTCGACTGCACTGGACTGAAATTGATCTAATCCGCAATTTTACAGGGAACTACGAGATGAACTGATGAATCTAGATGAATGATTCAGATAAACAAACCTGGATTAAATTAAGCGAAACAGGATCATTTGCGGTTCACAATTACTTTCCTGAAAGCAACAATTGAGGATTCGAATTGTCTCCGAAAAGCAACGTAGCTTTTGAATTAATCAATGGATTCGCTTTTGGAAGTCTTCGTTTGGTTGAAGTCTATCGAATTATGCACATGGTGGGATGAACGAAGTCTACCAAAGTTCTTTGCTGAAATTCTTTAATCTTTTTTAGTGCGAAATCATTTGAATTGGGTGTATGTTGAGTTGTAGGCCACACATCTCCATTAGAATATATGGATTATATTTTGTATGATAGCGAAGTAAATAAAAGAAGGTTCGGATAAATGAACCAATTTTTTCTTATTTGACTTGAATTTTACAAATGATAAACAAAATTGTTTAGTTTATATTTGTTTTTGTTTAAGGATCCATGTTATTTGTTTCAATTATTGATGCTAAAATATTAAAAGCATTAGTTACTGATTGGTTGCTTTTTTTTTTCCATATTCTTTGGGTTGGATAAAGATACAACAAGTGGAGGGAGGATTAACTAATAGTCCTTTTAAAAACAAAAATGTCTTATTCATTGTAACTTGATGTCTAATGGTTGCTTAGATAGTTGAGTACCATCCATTGAAATTGATTATATAAAACTTGTTAAATAGATTGTATTATTTTTTTACTGTTATTGATCACATCTACCGTTCTACCCAGCAATTATGAAACATTCCTTCAACCGTTGACATTAAAATTTTAGGACATGTCAAAGATAAGATTTTATAACCAAATGCAGAAGTCCCACAATTTCACCATATTTAAAAGAATTAAAAACATTGTTTAAACTGTTGGAGAGAATCGAAATTGATCTCAAAGAAAAAAAAATTTTAATTTCAAGCTTAGAAAATGTACTTGCAAACAATGTTTAACCAAACTACTCTTTGATTAATAGGAAAAATAATCCAAACCTAATTGATTACAATATGTCTCTCTTAATCCTAAACTTGATTATAGACATGTATATATAGCTTGACATACCAACTTGTATCAAACTAGGAAACTTATGACCAACTTGCCATAAAACAACTAGATTGTCTGGCCTCCAAGTTCATCATCGACTTAGGATTCCAACAATCACCCCCGAATCTCTAAGTCTTGCCAGAGATGCAAACCTAAACCTAAATTCTGTGTTTTTTTGATGTGTTTAATGATGTGGCTATTTGTATACGAGGTATGTCCACTGTTTGGAACATGCTAGTCAGCTAGTGTTCTAGTCTAGCTACTTCCAATAACCTCGGTTAAAGAACCAGAATTAGAGTGGTTAAATTAAAGTTGTGAGAAATTTCTAAAGTCTGAATCTTTTTGTATGATAAATTGATAATTTAAGCTCTAGAACGTTGGGTTGTGGTGTTTCTTTTGTTCTTTCTGCGTCTTCTTAATACAGACAAAAATAGTTGTTTAGTACTTTGATGTTCACTTGATTAAAAAAAAGCCATATAGGCTCATAAGTTCTCTTTATAATATAGATCTCGATAAAGCTCTTTATAATATAAATCTCGATTAAGTTCTATACGAGGACATTGATTGTCGAGATAAAATGATGTATACATAATGTTTTTTATTTTTTAGATTGAATATATATTAATACCCTAACATTCAAAAAACAAATTTAACCATATAAATCGATTTTTGGAAAGTTGAAGAGGAAAAAAAATGACAAATAAATAAAGAAACAATCATATAAAATTATCTAGACTAAATGATTCTAAGTCGAAAACAACAATTATTATGGAAATGCAAAAACATTATAGAGAAAATATTCAGGAAAAATTCTCAAATATACTTGAATATCAATGCTCAAGTCTTCTTAAAATTACATACTTTGAATAAAAATGGGGAAAAACTCAACCCAGAAATTATATAAAAAATCTCAAGGGGCTCTGTCAAATGGCTTTGTATCATTATAACAAGTCTCCCACACAGCTTCCATTGCATCCTTAGCAGCTGCTTCTGAACAATATGGATTGTTGGCTAATGACTTCATTACCCTTCTCCTCACACACTCCTTTATATATCAAATAAAAATAAAAACAGGGTAACTTTTTGAAATTTTAATAAGCAGATATTAATTACTAATAAAAAATAAACTTACTTGTTCATGGCCTCTTATTTTGATAAAACCTCGCAAGAGTTCCCTTTTATAGTGGCAATCACCACTGAGATGCCCAGCTCGAATCTGTTTATAAGATAGAAACAGTGGCAAAAAAGGAATACGATTTTTAATGGACCGATTAAGATTTAAGAAAGAAGATAAGAAGGTTGATGATAACTGATAAGGATTCAGACCTCACTACAAGCATGATGAGCACAATTAGTCCAATCCAAATTTGCAGCTCGACAATCATCATATGCATGAATTAGTTCATGGATAACCACTTGATTTACCTCATCTTGAATGTTCATGTAATTGCTACATACCACTATCTACAAATTGCAGCATATATGCGTTTCAATTGTGTAAATCAAAAGGAATAATTAGGGCAATCCAATGGATATACAAGAATTATTATTACCCCTTCTCCGCGAACATAACCACCACTCATCTTTTGGTCGCAATTGACAGCCTTGATAAAATTGGACGCGATATTACATCCACTTTTCTCCAAATGCTCCCGTAAAAACTTCACCGATGGAGCTGATATGTATGGCGGATTCAGTGATTACGATGCAAAAATTATAAAAAACTTATAAACCCTAAACACTAAGAATCTGAAAAAGGTTATGCGGAATTACTTCTAAGGCTTCTTTGGATCATAGTCTCGCACTCCTCCACCGTCATGCCGTCCTTAGCGGCGGACGAGAAGCTGTTGCCGGAGGGGGATGCAGAAGCGGAATTGGATGCTGCTGCCATTTTGTTGGTGCGGCGATTACGATGATTGCGGGTTTGGTCGTTGAGAATCAGACGCCGGGTCCAGTCGGGATAGATCCGGTTGCAAGCGGGCCTTATGTTGGGTCAGTTTGCATATGAGAAGCTTTTCTACTTGGGAACACAGATATGGAATCAGTAACAAAAGAATGACACCAACCAAAGAACCCTAATGCCAGAAATATGAGATGAAGAATATCAGTTTGACGAGAAGAAGAAGACGAGATTGACTGTTCTTGGTTAGAAATACGATGCAACAGAAGACAACTAGCTCTAACTATACGATAATCTGATGCATTGAGAAAAATTGCTCCAATTATATAACGTACGTCGATTTTAGAGAGGAATAAAATTACAAGACATCATTGATTTGGGGGATTTGAGGGAGGAAGAGAGAAATCAAATTTGGAGAATGAATAGGAATCGGGAAAAAGATACAGGGAAAATTTTGATCTCTGAAAGCATAAATTTTGGGCTTAACCCAGTAAGCCCAATTAAGTTAAAAGGAACAAGGGTAACTAGAATTTAGTTTTTAGCATCAGTATATCATAGACTACACGAATTAAGTTAAAAGGAACAAGGGAAACTAGAATTTAGTTTTTAGTATCAGTATATCATAGACTACACGAATTCATCACATTTTAAAAATATATTTTAGAATGTTGAAAAATATATATTTATAATGGTTATGTTATTTACATTAATTTTGACATAATATATATATATATATATATATATATATATATATATATATATATATATATTCAAATGTTTTCACTATCTATTGTGTGCATGTATGACTGATTCTGGACCAATCATTTTCGTTATTTTTTAAGAAAGTAATTAATACATATTAAATGTTGAAGATGTAATTAATATTCATTATACTAGGTGTAAGACCCATGTATTACATGGGTTCATTCAAAAATATATATATATATATATATATATATATATATATATATATATATATATATATATGAAAATTCTAACCATTTGAAAAAAGTTTGAATTTATAAGAAAAAATAGAAAAATATTGAGTTATTAAAATTAAAATGAATTTTTATACACACATGAATTCGTTGTGAAGGAAGTTGTAATGGCTTCAACATTTTCTTGGTCTCGTAAAAGTTGTTAGGAAGCTTCTCACCTATAGGTAGATTGTCTTTGATTATAGGAATTAATCTATCAAATGAAGAGTCTGATACATTGCACTCCGATTTCCAGTTCAACAATCTGGTGGTGGTGGAGAGTGTGGAAGCTTTTTTGGACCCGTCCCATAAAGGCTCGCTAACTTGGTTCAACATTTTATAGAAAGTTTGGGCTGATTGATTTGGGTTTTGTTTTGCTTGTTGACAATAAGGAGCCTGTTGATAGTAAGGAGCCTCAGGTTGATGCATGCTTTCGATAATCATCTGCTCGTATCTACGATTATCACCCACACCTTCATCATTGTCTTGAGCCGGTTCAGAGATTGAACATTGACCAATTTCTTGTGTTGGATATAATTCCCCATGTGCATACCAAAACATATAATCTTCCATGAATCCATTCTGGTATAGATGCAATTCAACTACATTTCTTGTCTTGTAATAACGATTTTTGCATTTCTTACACGGGCATCTAATTTCAAAAACCTCCACCCCTTCCACAATACTATGTTGGATGTTTGTTGCGTTCGTGTAAGCAAAGTTAAGGAAACTTTGACATAATGTCGAAATTCGGTATTGAAAGCCCCATTCCTAGTGAGTCTCATTGTGTACATCCATTCTCTATTTGATGTCATTTCGATCTATAAACAACGATTAACGTATCATTCTACTTAATTAATCCCAAACAAATGAACATACCAATGTACTTTACACTAAACAAATAAACATATATGTGGTATAACCTAATTAAGGTTGGAAACACAATTGTTATATGAAAATTTTAAATTTAAGTTATTGATAGACATATATGAAAACATATAATAAATTTAGAATAAAATCTGTTTTATAATTAAAAAATAAAAGATGTTATAAGAAAAAAAATGTTTTACAATTAATAAATAAAAATATTATAAAAAAATTAACATACTGAAATAAATTCCTACTTAATGATTGGTAAAGGGAAATACATATAATGACATTTTAATATACGGTTAAGTAAATATGACAAATCAATTTTATGTTATAGAATATTTTTTACATTAAAAAAATTCTTTCGTACCTGTTTGGAAAATATTCGGATCCAATTATATAAATATTTTTATTAATATAAAAAGGGATTGTTTTTATAATTACATATGTACTCCATAGTGGTTTTGGTTGAGATTTTGTTAACAAATAAATTGTATAAAATAACTAATTTACTTTGAAATCTTTATTCATTTTCATGAGAATCAAAGCATGCCAAGCAATTCACAGCAACATAATCCATGAGAATCACAGAGGGGCAGTTTAGTCTTTTTTACTTTTTTATTGTTGTGCACACTTTTGTTCCCTTTTTTATTGTTGTGCACACTTTCATTCCTCTCGAAAGAATGAGCCATTTTCTTTGAATGCAAGTTTTTTTATTCTATTCTTTTGTGATAATAGTTGGATCTCACGGAGTTCTAATTCCAAATTCTAATATTCTAGCCCAACTAAATGAAGAGTTAGAAATGGTCATGCAGCCCCAAGAACTTAAGGGAATCAGGAATAAATTGGAGAACAACAAGGAGACATATGACGTTTTGATCAAATGGCAGCGACTCCTAGACTCTGAAGCAACATGGGAAGATTATGAGGAAATTACTGGGCGATTTCCCTCCTTTCACCTTGAGGACAAGGTGAGAGTTTGGGCGGGGGCAATTCTGTCTTTTTTTGAGTTGTGGTTTACAGACCCACCAATGTATGGGACAGGGGCAAATCTGTCCTTTTTGTCTATAAAATTTATACTTCTATGGCTAGTGAAAGACACATTGTTGTTTAATTTCAAAATTTATGTGGGTTTTATTTGTTTATTCTGGAGTCAAATTTGTTATTGTTACTTTAATTTCAAATCATCATGTGGGTTTTGTCTTTCAAATTTCACCTGAAATGAGCCATATATTCAAATATAGTAATGTTAAACTTATAATTAGCCTATAGTAATGGCATGTAAAGTGTAAAAGTTGTTACAACATTACAAATTTCTATTCTTGATAATATAAAGTGATATTTAAAGTGGAGAACATAAATTGAAAAAACCACTTGCAATTCCTTCTCTTTTAAACACCAAATTCTGTAAGGTATGGTGTTGCTTCAAGATTCTTGCTTAAAATGGAGAGCACAAATTAATAAAACCACCGGTCTAAACTCCTAAATTGTACTCAAAATCCATAGTCTAGATAATATGTGGTTGTTATGAGGTGTAAATTAACCAATGTTTCCCTTGCCTGCTAAAACGTGAATCAAATTTCTAGTTCCATCTTCATTCGTTAAAGCAAATTAATAATACGCTGAACAATTGAAGTTTTGTACAAGTTTCAGCAAACTGAAATCACATTACATACCTTCAGGTGTCGTTAATGGAGCTGTTGGGGCAGTGACGGTGGCGGTATGCTGCAGGATCGTGGTGGTTTGCAATAACGACAGCCGGATGCAGGCCTGTGACGGTATGAGGAGGTCGATGGTGGTGCGGGACAGCGACAGCAACAGCAAGGTGGGTTTTGGTGGGGAATAGCCGGAACAGGGGTGGGTTTTGGTGGGGAATCGTCGGAAGGAACGAGACTAGGTTTTGGTGGTAGAAAAGAGGAGTTTTTAACCAAATAGGTGTTTTAAAAAAACTTATTTATCTAATAGGTATACTTTTAAACTTATTTACCAAAATGGGGTTATTTAGCACTTTTTTTTAAAAGGTTTCATGTTTCTTTTATTTCTTTCAACCAAAAAAAAGCCAATATTTATAACATACAAAAATCGTAGTTATTGTTTGTTTTATTTTTAGTATAAATTTTTTGGTTTTTTTTTTTTTTTTTTTTTTTGTTAGTTTTTGCTATAAATGTTTATCAATTTTTTTACAATTTGATCAACAATTTGTGATGCATTTTTTGGCACCAAAATATACAATAACTTAGAAAACAACTAATATTTCCCTGCAATAATACCCTCCAATACCTCCTCAATATTTATGCAAGAAAATTATTTCGTTAAAAAAGGAACACAAACCCAAAATAAAATTGATACATGGAAGTCTAAGCCAACAAACCCGAGAGGGGATTTTGTTTTGATAATAAGTCATAAAAGGAACACATACTAAACTTTCAACAAACCTTTACCCGAATTTAAGTAAAGGCAAGAAAAGAAAGGGCAAGACTTTCTTTAATTTTCTTAATTTTCAGCAAAATAGACTCTATATATTTATATTATTTTCCAGAATATCAATCAAACATGATACATGACTTTGGTTCCATTCTTTTTGTATGCAAAAACCTAATCTGATCATGTATCATACATGTATTGTAATAGCATATTGTGAAGGATCAGATATACATCTATTGTAATAACAATTAACAAGAATATGCTAGTGGTGGAGGTGTACCTAGATAGTGGAATTACCGGACTTGCCCTCTGAAGCACAAATGCCAAAAGCTTGAGCGGAAATTCCAAATAGAGAAGTGCTTGAAGAAAACTGGAAGGGTATTTGATTGAGAACCACTGGCGGAGGGATAACAAGAAAAACCAATTAATCATCAATTTCATGTTGGAATTAAAAAAAAAAAACGCAAGGAAGATACCTGTTCGCTTCGTTGGTCGCTAAATCGATCGCGATACAATTCGAGATGAGCCTGATGCCTTCGATCGGAGAGCAGGCGGCGACGAGGGTGGTAATCGGCGACGGGGGTGCTAATCGGCGACGGGGATGCCTCGATGGCCGACGCTGGTCGCCTGAATCGATCGTTGTACAAGTCCAAATGCGCGCCTGATGCCTTCGATTGGAGAGCAGGCGGCGACGAGGGTGCTAATCGGCGACGGGGATGCCTTCGATGGTCGATGGATCGATGGATTGAAGATGGATGGTTCTGTGGACCGTGGGAAGGTTTGACGATGGAGGCGGATGTAATAGAAGATGCGTTTTTTTTTTTTTTTTTTTTTTTTTTTTTTTTTTTTTTTTAAGGTTTAAAACACTCGCAGACGTTTTTATGTCTTAGCATTTCAGAAAAACAGACACACTGCAAACCTTTAAGCCTGTGCGTGGTCTGCGCTGCGCAGACAAAAGAACCCACGCAGATCTGCGGAGAAAAAACAAACAACACCTAGGTTTTGGTGGTAGAAAATAAGAGTTTTTAACCAAATAGGTGTTTTAAAAAAACTTATTTACCTAATAGGTATACTTTTAAACTTATTTATCAAAATGGGATTATTTAGCACTTTTTTTTAAAAGGTTCCATGTTTCTTTTATTTCTTTCAACCAAAAAATAGCCAATATTTATAACATACAAAAATCGTAGTTATTGTTTGTTTTATTTTTAGTATAAATTTTTTGTTTTTTTTTTTGTTAGCTTTTGCTATAAATGTTTATCAATTTTTTTACAATTTGATCAACAATTTGTGATGCATTTTTTGGCACCAAAATATACAATAACTTAGAAAACAATTAATATTTTCCTGCAATAATACCCTCCAATACCTCCTCAATATCTATGCAAGAAAATTATTTCGTTAAAAAAGGAACACAAACCCAAAATAAAATTGATACATGGAAGTCTAAGCCAACAAACCCGAGAGGGGATTTTGTTTTGATAATAAGTCATAAAAGGAACACATACTAAACTTTCAACAAACCTTTACCCGAGTTTAAGTAAAGGCAAGAAAAGAAAGGGAAAGAAAATATGGAGAGAAAAGAAAGAGAGTGGAATGAAATAAATAACTTTTTTCGTATTCCTGAGTTCGAAGAAAATGAAAGGAAACTTTAAAAAAAAATATGTTCCCGAGCTGAAAGAAAAGAGAAAGAAAAGAAAACAACATTGCAATTTTACCTTTGCTTTTTAAGCAATCATATTAAATACATAGTTATAACTGGTAAAAGAATATTGATCTATATCCTAATAGGAGCATCACACATCCAAAAGAAGCAAAATTATAGATGAAAGAAGCAGAACAAACTCCAAAATGAGCATCAACTAATAATCAAAAGTTGCAGCCAACCAAAGTAGAAACAAGGGCAAAAAAATCCAACAAACTGGAAGAAGGCTTGAAAACATAATACACAAAACAAAAAGCACCTTTAAATACTTGATACAATGTTTACTTTCACACTTTTTTTTTTTGCTAATTAAAGGCTTTATATAAATTTACTTATTTACTAAATTACATAAAATTTTCTTTATGATTGTTGTTCAAAAAAAGGTCATGGTGAGCATGAATACCATATAAGCATCATGAAACCACCATAAATGCTGACACAATCTACCGATCGATGTAAAAAAAAAGTGTAAATCAAACAACCAATAACTTTCTTTAACACAACATTTGTTGGCTAGATGTTTGTTAATGACAGTTAACAAAGTAATCACAAATATAAAGGAATATATTTCCTTGCAACAGCAAAACAAGAGGTAGAGCCAAGGGCAAAAACGTCTATGAAACTGTGAGATGGTGTGCAATACGTAAAGCGAGAACAACACCACTCAATGAACCAAAACAGTTGACCATTTATTGAATCAATAGTCAAACAACACTAATTGTAAACATTAGTGAATTGTGATGATGATTGACATGCTCGCAAGTCCTAATCTTCTTAGAGCAAGTCTTCCGTAATCTTGAGTGACAACAGCCATCCCAAACATCAATTTGGTATTAGCTAGAGAGAAATTACAATGCTGATATAGCTATATACATATAAACTAATACAAATTTCATGTTTTCTTAAATTTAATCGACACCTCTGCTGTATTCGAAGCAACAAGAAATCAATCCTAATTTCATTTGATTCTCAAAAATTAGTAAACACAATTCAAAAATCAGAATTCTCAGAAAATCTAACATAAGCAATCTAATCTAAGAAAACTTCTACACCAAAATTCGAAGGTGGAGTCTTGTATGACCGAAAGTTGAATGGTGGTCGGCTGGAGCTGTGGCCGGCGATGGAGGTGCAGCCGGAGAGACGAATGAGAGATGGCATCGTGCGTAGTTGGTAATTTCCTCCCGCTTGCAGCTTTCGTCATTTAGGGCAGGTTTATTTTTTTTATTAAATGGAAAAATCACTTTATTTGGTAAATAATTTGAAAACTATACCCATTGTGGAAATAAGTTTTTCAAAAACACTTTTTCAGTCAAAAACTCTAGAAAAGAGTTATGCGACGTGATGAGGAAGGGAATTGAAAAATGGGTTAAATACTTTTTTTTTATATTTGATACTTGAAAAATAGAAAAATAAAAAATGATCGTAGGTAATCTGTAGGTAAATATCTACAGAATGCCTAGAGGGTAATCTGTAGGTAATCCGTAGGTATTTACCTACAGATTACCTACGGTATTTTTTTATTTTTCAATTTTCAAAGGTCAAATATCGTTTTTTTCACAACTTATTTATACTTTGATTGCTTTGTTTTAACCAATTTATACATAAAACAAACTTACAAACAAACGGATGCATCATTAGAAAAACTAAATATGAATTTAGATAGCTTTTTGTTTGTTCTGTATATAGTAACGGTTTCTAACTAAGCATACGTTTGTATGTATGTTTATGTTATGTATAAATCGGTCAAAACAAAGCAATCAAAGTATAATTAAGATGTGAAAAAAATAAAACGAAAAAAACGACATTTGATACTTGAAAAATAGAAAAATAAAAAATGACCGTAGGTAATCTGTAGGTAAATATCTACGGATTGCCTACAGAATAAGGTAATCTGTAGGTAATCTGTAGGTATTTACCTACAGATTATACCTACAGATTACCTACGGTCTTTTTTTATTTTTCAATTTTCAAAGGTTAAATATCGTTTTTTTCGTTTCGTTTTTTTCACAACTTATTTATACTTTGATTGCTTTGTTTTAACCAATTTATACATAACACAAACTTACAAACAAACGGATGCATCATTAGAAAAAAAACTAAATACGAATTTATTTAGCTTTTTGTTTGTTCTGTATATAGTAACGGTTTCTAACTAGGCATAAGTTTGTATGTATGTTTATGTTAGGCATACGTTTCTAGATCCGACATCTCAAAATTCTTTAACATTTCCATCTTGAATCTTTTAATCATGCTCAAACTTGTACGTGTGACAAATAAATCATCAACATAAATTGCTAAAATCAACAAGTTAGCTCATTCGTTTTTTCGGAACACCGATGGTTCTTTCATGCATTTTTGAAATTTCATGCTCTTCAAAATCCCATCAATCTTCGTGTTCCATGATCAAGGTGTTTGTCTTAGACCATATAGTACTTTTGTAAGGCGATACATTGTATGCTCATTTTTCCGGTACACCGATGGGTTCATTTCGAATAAATGGGTTCAATGATTGAGGATTGAGTTGACCTTGTAAAGTATTTGTCAAATGAGGGTAACTTTTGAATAATTTAAATTCAATTTTGATTCCCTTTTGATTTTGACTTGATCAAAATCAAGAACACACTTTTATTTTAGGTCGAAGTCTCGTCTCGATCATCAAACAGCTCCAACAAATTGAACGGGCAAATAAAGGAATGAACGAAAGCTTCCAGCAGGTGGAATGAAGGAGATGAAAAAAAGGGAGAACGGTGAGAAGGAAGCGTGAAGTCTTGCAGGTGGTGCTTCATTGATTGATTCGCAAGGCAGGAGGCGGCGTAGGAGGTGGCATAAGGGGGTGCGAAGGAAGGAGCTCGCACGGAAGCAACCATAAAGTCGAAGGGGTTAGGCATCTCCGGTAGTGAGGTGTGAAAGGAAGGTACGAGGGGTTATGGATCATTCGTGGTTAGAGTGTTAGATAAGGTGTGTATGTCCATAACTATAATTGATATGTACTTGACCCGAGAGTAGCATGTTCCATTTGGGTTGCATTTCACCGGAACAATTTGTAAGGATGGAATTTTGGAGAAGAGGTTATTTATGATTTATTAATATATTACAAGCTCTAATATATTTACATGAAATCATATTATTTAATTAGTATTGGTTAGGAATTAATTTGGAATTAATTCAGTGATCAAAAGAGACTAATTAAATGTACGGGGATTGATTTGGTAAATTAGTCATTCTTATGTTGTGGGCTTATGGTTGTTTAGGATGGGCTAAACCAATATGGTAGTCCATGGGTGGGCTAAACCAATATGGTAGTTCATGGATAGTCCATGGAGGTTTAACCCAAGGATCCTAAGTAATATGAGAAGTCATGTCCATTAAGGTTTACATGGATGTAATCCTAGACTTTGTCACACTATATAAGAAGTCCCTAAGCTCCCAAAATCAGAACTAGTGGTTCAAGAAGTTCATAGGAGCCGATTTTGTGCTAGTAACTCCCTCCCAGGTCCTCCATTATTGGTGGTGTTTTGTGAAACATTTGAGGCATCACATTTGGGGTGCTAGGCTCTTAAAGGTCCAAGTTAACAAGCTACAAGAAAAGGTAAGTCATCTAACTAGTTTTTGTTATTCATGTACCTATGATTTGTATGTTAGTTAGGACAATGCGTTGGAAAATCAAATTGCATGTATAATTAGAAAAAACATAGATCCAAAGCATTTAGGGTTGTATGTTCACCATAAGGTTGTTAGAGTGCTCATAACCCATCATAGAGGGTGTGTCTCCGGGGCTGAAGAGGTCGAACGGGAGAAGTATCTTCGATGTTGTTGTCTTTGGTCCTTGGTTAATCAGGGGAGAACGATCAATGACAAGGCTCCGGTGAGGGTGGTTTGGTGGCAAGGATCGACGGGAAGTAAGGGGAAAGGGTTTTCGGTATTTGATTGATCAAAAGGAAAAGGATGAACGGGAATAGTCGTATCAAGAGATTGATCGTAGTGGATAACAGGTAACCGTCTTGCCTCATATTTTTTTTGTGCTTTGTTATCCATACAAATGATGATTGATACTAGTAGAATTATCGATCAAAAGAAGTGTTTGGGTTTCTTTGTTTGATAGAAATCGTGAATGGAATTCATGTTTGGGTTTTGATTTCTGATAGGAGAAGGAAACAAAAACATGATGTTGTTGTTTCTATTTGTAGGTATACCCTAGAACAAGAACAAAGTGTTCTTGTGTTCTTGACTGAAATCGGTGAGAAAGAAAGAATTTTAGATGTTTAGGTTTATTGTTTAGATTTTGGTATTTAACAGGGAGATGAAGAACGAAATGATGGATGCAAGCTCTTTTGTTCGATTCTTACAGTTTTAGTATTTCTTTTGTGTGTTCACTTGTACAAAACAAAATTTAGAAGTAACCAAAATGTGTTGTCATATTAAGGGTGAAAGGGTATAAGTTTTATTTTTCATATTTTATATAATGTATTTAATATATGTGTATTTTATTTAAATAAATATGTATTTGTGTATGAATTTACATAATGTATCTGTTGGTACAATTGATTCAATGGGTATGTGTTTGGTTGAAATTGGGCATGTATTGGTGTGTGTATATATATATATGTGTGTGTGTGTGTGAGAGAGAGAGATATACATGTATGTATTCATTTATCTCATAGAAAACAATATTTTTATACATATCGTGTATACATACACCTTTTATTACTTTGATATATACCTATGGAGTATATATATATATATATATATATATATATATATATATATATATATATATATATATATATATATATATATATATATATATATATATATATATAGTGGAGGTGCCAAAACTCTAACCATGTCAAGTCTCGGTCGTTAAACATCATACATGATTGTTATATATCCATGTCTCTATGTTTTTGGTAATACTTTCATATACATATAATGTATATTTACCTATTTTAGTGACAACATTTGTAATTAATTGTAAATTGTGCTCTATACATGTATGTGTGTGGTTACATATGAATTTAAAAATTATAAGATTATTTCCATTGTTAAAATTTACTTTAATCGACTTGGATTCTCACAATTTTCTGGAACACATTACCAATCATGGAAATCATGTCGAAATCAATAGTTTAATGTTTTTCAGTTAATTAGGTTGAAAAACGTCTGATTTTTTACTTTTATAAATAGTTTTACAAAAAAATATTTCAAATATGAATTTAAATATTAGGCTATAGCCTGAGTCCAAAAATGTTTTTGGAATTTCCATTTGAGGTGTGCAAGTCCTTTAACGGATAGAAACAGTTTTAGCAATTTTAAGAAAATTAGTATTATATTGGTTTTGGATTCTTAAAACGGTCATATCTTTTGAATACGAACTCCGTTTTGGACGTTCTTTATATTTTCGGAATCAGGGAAACACGTACTACGAGGATAGAGTGTTTGTTTTTCTCACAACAGCTTAATACAACATTTCAAATTTCCAGACGCATTCCTAAAGTTGTTGTTTGAGCTGTTTGATTGGTTTGTCAATTTACACATTTGGAAGTAAGATGTCGTTTGGTATCTTATAATAGCTGAAATAACTCATTTATTTTGTATTATGTGCACTAAATCTTAATGAGTCAAACTACAAAGAGGTTTACTGTGAACTTGATCGTTCACGTCTTTGACCTAAATTCCGGGATATCACACTACATTATCCACCACCAAATTGGGCCTAAACCTCTCTTTCCCAAGGCCCGAAACCTTATGATACTCGATCTTCCCGGTCACATCCGAAATTATGAAACGAACCAAAACACGGTGTTACACCTTGATAGCTTTTTCACTCCATCATTTGTTGGACTATGGGATCCTTCTTCTTGTGTAGCCTTGCCTCCATTACCTTAACTTTCCCTCTGCGTTTTTGCTCAACCTTTCACCCTCACTTTATCTTCTTTTTTTTCTCAGGCCTTCCCACCTGAGTGCGATGTGGGGGAGGAATTAGCTTTGTTGGACAATCACTTTTGGGCCACATGGCTCTCCCTTTAATTGGCTCCACCTTAAATGAATATGCTTTTTGCCATGTCTATAGCTAATAGACTTTGTATACCCATTTGCAAATGTCAAACTCGTCTTCTGAATCTTTTCTCATTTCATTGAGATTTGCAATTGACGTCAGC